CCCCCTAGCACTGCCTCGTGGCACGCCGGCGGACTATGAGAGCAGCCATTCCGGCACATGCCCCGCCCCTTGGGGGAGCAGCTCCGTTAGGCTCACATGTGTTCTGTTCCACTTACCCCATGCTCACCCCGTTTCAAACTTGACCCGACTTCTCCAGGTGTTTCTTCAGGTTACATCGAATTTCCGTACAAACAGACAGGCAGTGCGCTTTATATATAGTAATGATTATAGAACTGTCCACCAGGCGTTTCCCATGTCCATCGCAAATGAAAGGGCGTCTGAAATTACGAGCTGAACTGCTGTCGCACGTTACAAGGAACAGTTCTCCTGTTTCGAAAATGGCAGGCAACGGGCGGTGCTTTCTCGTCGCGGTCAGTCCGATGACGTCGTTCTTGATCATCCTGGCTTGCGGCGTCAGATCTTCGATGCACGCTTCCGATGCATACGTTCGTGCATTGAAAGTACAAATAGTCGTCTTAGTCGTCCTCCTTTCAGTCAGCCTGTCATAGTCTTGAGATTTTCGCAGCTTTTCCCGAGCCTTCCTACCCAACGCTGCCTGTTGGGGGCCCTTCAGATCCAGAGGATTAATTGAGGAAAAGAAACAGTTTTCACTGTTTCACTTTTTTCAATCAATGAAATGCTGACAGTGAAGTTCACTGCGGAACTAGAAAATCTTAACTACATTATCGCAAAAATTATTTCACGTGTCTTTAGCAAATTTTTTTGAGTGTGATGTTATCATTCGCTTTGTGAATAAGACTCAGGTAACCTCCTGGAAATGAGGGGCTTTTTATTGAGTTCATTGTTCTAGGGAGACAGTGGACAACAATATCGAAGGCTTATCAAACACATATATAACGCGACTGTTGTTACCTTGATTTCGAATACTTGATTGTGACTTTTCTCTTTCTTCATTTCAGAGCCCGTCAAATCAGCTACTATCAATGGGTCCCATTTGTGCTTGCATTGGAAGCACTTTGCTTCTACATCCCTTGTATAATGTGGCGAGGTTTACTGCACTGGCATTCAGGTGAGCACCTAAGCCTACAGTTTTTTTCATAGGAGAAGATCATAAATTATTTCTAGGAATATGGAGAAATGCAAGCGTTTGAGCGATTATATAGTTCCTAAGGCGCAGTCCTTATTTAACTGGAGTATTAGCTGAGGAATCATGCTAAATATCGAAAGCGCTCAAAGTCTTCTTCTCCCTAGCGTTAATCCCGCGCCGTCGCAGGGTCCGCTGTT